TTTCCATTGCTTTAAATTTAACCAAGTCCTGCCGAGTGGTAAATAATCACGAGAAATACATGCACCCCTAGTAGTTATATTGTCTTTTGCAACGGAACGAAAATTTTCAAACTGTGCTATTTCCTTCATGTATGGCGCTTTTTATTGTCTACACTCTTTGAAGTAACCAACAAACAATACCTGCCATTGGATAGTGTATGTCGTCTTTTCTCTGTTCTAATCTCGTGGCCTGATTAATCAAGACAAAAATTCATGCAACGATATATTTATAGAATTCGACGTCTTAATTGACGTTCTTCCGGAGCATGTGTTAAGTTTCAGAGAGCGGCGAGACTTAAAGACAAGCTTTCTAAAAACACACGTCGCCGTGGCTTAATAGGAGAGAAAAACTTTGGAATGGTTGGGGTTGCCCTATTTTTGGCAAAGGTTGTCTTGCTTCTTCTCAAACTTAAAACTTCACCATTGTTAATCTCCCTACTGGCTTTGCATCGTTCGCAGGCGAGGTACAATGTGACAATATTGTTGTTTTACGACGAAACTTGCGATGAATGCATCAAAAAAGAAGCAAGCCAGCTGTTCCACCAAGATATTTTCCCACGAAAATCTGAAGTAATCAACTTTAGATGGGTAAAAGTCAACGCAACCAGTATTAATCGCAGTCAAGTTGGAGTATTCAGCACTCTTGAATTTCTAGAAAAACACTCCGCAACGGTAGATGGAGCAATTTTTATCGACGTAACGCCCGATTCAGTAGCTTTTTCATCGCTGTTGAAAAGTTGACATGTCTTAACAGTTGGTTTATTTCACGAGCAAGGAGGTTTCCGAACTGAGGTAACATAGAGAAATATTTGGGAAGGTTTCTTCCCAATCGATTTCTTCCCAAACGATTTCCCAAACGATTTTGGGAAGGTTTCTTCCCAAACGATTTTCCTAAGCGACTCTGTTTCTCCGAACAGCAAAATTGAGGTTTTGAAGATTATTTTCTGTAAGCATGGTGTGCCCGCGAACATACGTCCGATTATACGAAAGCAACAATGAGCCACGAAAAGGGGAAAAAAGAATACAGCTAAAAATATCAACTGGAAAAAAGCCTTAAAAGCCATGCGGTCCACTAATATTTGCACAGTTTTCGGAATTCTGCAAAATTACTTCGCCAGGTCAGTCACAGATTTTTATTGAACTAGGTAATTATTTTTTAATTTTCTTACCAAATAATAAGTAGCTTTCAATAGCATTTAATTAAATTCGTTTCATTTCTTTTGTTCCACTTTCCTTTATGCTAGTTTAGAACTACAAACAACCACTATCTAAGTTTATGAAAAAATATAAGTTTACTGCAAGGATCGTGGCACGATAATTTCGTCTCACAACTGTTTCAGATTTCAGACTTGTTCTGACGTTCAGATTGTAGCTTTTCTTTTATCTCAGTAAAAGAATTCAAAGATGTAGAGGCCTAGAAATGAAACTCAACTAAAATAAATTGGTAATAAGGAGCAGACAAACTGACTTTTCACACAAGTGTAGAACGAATTCACGTGAGAAAGTAAGATGTGCCAATTATAATTTTCTTACTGCATTTGATCTGGTCAGGTATTAGAAATAAAAAGCGAAGTAGAAAACCTTAGGCAAACAGTTGAAAGTCCGTTTCACCTTCTTTTGATCCAGTTTTGGTTTTATTACTTTGTAAGGAACATCCTGGCGATTCTACGAGAGTGGTATTTCCATCAATTTTTCGCTACGTGAACTCAGCCTGGGGAATTATAAAGAAATATGGATGGGAAGCTATTTCGTTAGTGCTATCTGCTGACTACGAAGGCATCACATTTGTGGAGAGTATGCGAAGCTACGCTTTTCAGGAGCAGTGGCAAATTCTTAAGGTAGTCTGGCTAACGGAAGACCTGATTGGAAATGGCACAAAAACAGAATTAAAAGATGTAGTGGGTAATACAAGAAATGATGTTATTGCTATGCACAGCAGGTTAGGGAAGGATCGGCAGCTTTTTGAGATTGTTCAAGAGCTTGGCCTCAGCAAACAGAAAGCTGTGTGGATTATAACAGAAATTACAAGCCACCAGTTTAAAAACTGTCAGAAACTTACACAGGGACTGCTAAAGATAAGCCTCAAACGTCCAGAAAAACATCACGACTACGTTATTTATGGCAATGCTCTGCATGATGCCGTCTCATTGTTTCAAATCTCCTTTGAAGACAGTTTGAAAGAGTCAACACTTCAATAACTAAATGTAAACGTGCACAATGCCACAATACAAAAAGGCTTGAAAATACGGAAATATAGGAGGAAAACTTCTAGAAAACAAAATGTGAAAATGTCTTAAAGGACATGCTAAAAAAATTGTGTTATCATAGTTTGCCTCGGTTTCAGAATTATTTCAAAATAGAGGGAACGTGTTGTTTGGAAATACGTGCAGGTGCTTTATTACGAAATGTTACAAGCAGTGTTTGAAGTTACGACAGGTATCGGAAATTGCGACAATTCAGTGCTACAATTCACGATATAAGTGTCTAGGACTATCAGACAAAAAAAAAAATTACGAGCAGAAGTTTGATGTCAAGCTTGTCTTTCTAAACAGCAAGTTTTACACGAAAGTCAGGCGTTACGCTTAAAATTTGCTGCATTTTGATGCCATCGTCCTGGAATTGCCTCCAATCCCAAAAGCCAAATTTCAGGTATGACTTATTTTATGGTTAAGATGCAGATCGTTATCTCTTAGCTTAAGTTAGGACTGTAATACCGCGGTTAAGTTATGTTATAGCAAGCAAAATGGTTCTAAAACATACGCACAACAGCTATCTCGCGTACGGAATCTCAGGGAGTAACGACTACAATTTCTTAGTTTGGGAGTCGTTGTTAAGGTATCAGTATACCGTACCCCAAAATTGACCATTTTTCAAAGAAATTGTTTTCCGCTCTTTCAGACAGATCTTTTTATGGTCTTTAATTTTAAAAAACATTCTACAAAAAAATATTAATTCTATGCGAAGTTACAAACGAAAAACGTTTCTTTTCGTTAATTATCTCTAATTGATAGCTGTTAGCGGGTTGTCACGAGAAGTATATGTAAACTTGCAATTGCCGTCTATGAACTAAACGTTTGTGTTCGGTATGGTCGACGTGCTGGTCTAGGTTTCCGGGGGTGGGTGTTCTCCGTTTGTAGATTGTTGATTTAACCTTCGAAGAAACGCAAAAGTTCGTGCCATTTGCAAGCTCGAAGAAAGCACCACGGAGAAAAAGGTCGGGGGAAAAGGTTTCAAAAACAGTCGATCAGAATTGGACTGATGCGTTAGCTGCTAGCGACAAAGGTTGCTTGCACTGGACGAGGAAGACGTTTGACATTTTCTAAGCATTACGTTCTTGGTGCTTTTGCCGTTTGAAGCGGTAAAATTAATAAACCAATTTTAACGTAATCGGTGTCTCGTGGGTTTCCTTCACGTTGTTTACGAGTTTTACGTTTTAAAAATCGAAAGGAAGAAACAGGAGCCAAAATTATTCCTTTTTTTATTGTAATGAATACACCTTCGTAATTTACAATTCTTAAGCTTTCAGAAAATATATACTTTACTGGGGTTTGGATGAAACATCCGACCGTAAAGCGGCGTCACCGAATCATGGTCATTTGGGGTATACTGATAGTTTCCCTCAAAGGAACTCAGTCACGGTATTTTGAGTTATTTCGGCCACGTACACAATCAGCTTAAAATTGAAAGAAACCTGAAACTAGTTGTCTACTGAGATAGAAAAACACCAAAGCGATAAAAATCACCTATAAAGAAACAAGGTTGGTTAAGGATGGAGAAGATTAACACAGATTACGAACGACACACTTGAAAGATTTAGCGTAAACTTTTAGAGGCTCCTCCTTTACGCTTTAGTGTAGTGTATGGTGTTTTGAATCGGCTATTGTGTATTGCTACATGAGAATATTACCAACCCTTCAATCTGGCTCTGCTGTTTGCCAGTCGAGGTTTGTTTCATTTTGAATATAATACCGTCAGCATGTTTAATTAGTTACAATGTAAACAATGTTGAAATTCTCTCGTTTATGGCTATCTAGCCCTTCCAGCTACGCGACATCTGTTTTAATAAAGTTGCTAACATTTTACCGCAATTTGCCATCTGGCTTGTAAAAGAAATTGCTCATATTTTGAATCGAAATGTACAAATACCCTGTACTTTTACTGTCGATCTGTGCACAGGGATCCAAAGCTCCAGCTGTGAGCGATATTATCTTGTCTATGTCATCTTGCGCAATGGTAAAAGTATAAGACTGTCTGGGAATATTTATGATCGTGTTTAGGGATACAAATACTAAAAAGCACTCCATAAAAATACCTTCTGCTACCTCCACAGTACATTGCTTGTTGTCTGTTCGCTTTTCAGCTTATTTGAAGCGATTTTGGTGAGTTATCGTTCCCTGGGTTAAGAAATTGTTTCGCTGCAAAGTTGCTTCAAATCAGCAGAAAAAGCAAACAGACAACGTAACTGTCAAACCGACAACTTATTAGCAGCCTGAACTCTAACAGATCTAGAAATCAACCAATCACGTCTTCTTATTACACTACACGACGGTGGTAGCCATAGAAACACAATTACATTTATAAATGTGAAGTTTTTGGAATAACTTCCCTTTAAAGACGACTTACCAAGCAATGCATGGCCATAGGCTTCTAGCGTTTCTCCTTTTTCAAAGAATGATAAATTTTTGTTATCTCGCGGTCGCAGAAGACCTTACATGGTCTCGCTCGGCGTATTTCACGACGCACGAGAATCAGCGGCTTGAAGGCCACGTCGTTGAGCAGTTTGAGTCACCTAGTTCAATATCGTGCAGTTATTCTTGTCTGAGAAATCCCTGGTGTACTTCCACAAACTTCAACGTGTTATCCGGGAAGAACGACAGAGGAACGTGCGAACTGAACAAGCACGGAGTCCTCGATGAAAACTCTGAGTTTCATGAAAAAGACGGAGTGACATTTTCTTTGATCCAGAAGGTAGGGCATTATTAGCAAACGTTTTTGACCAGTTGTATTAAGGAAGTTCGCACTGTCTTCCTTTATACGAATATATCTTCGCAAACTCATTAATAATAAATCGTCAAGTTTAAACAAAGGAAATCATGACCGTGACGGTGTCTGGATATCTGATCTTAATTAAACAAGATTTCTCCCTAGTTTTCGTTTCGATTGAGAAGATATATCAAACACTCATGACAGTGTTTGACCACACTTCTAAACACCCCGAAGCTCGTCAAAATATTCCGCTGCGCGTCGTATTTTCAACTCACTTCTCGGTGTTTAGAAATGTAGTCAAACTCGGTCTTTCGTGTTTGACATATTACTAACAAGAATACCGAGGCGAAAATTTGCGAAATTTTAAGAATACTTTGAGAGAAACCGGAGGCTAAGACTCTAAAAAGAATATAATTTTGCCTGTTGAAAATTTCTTTAAAAAAATGCATAATACAATAACATGTTTTTACTAAAGCACATAAAATTCTTCCTTTCTCTAAACGGCAAAACTAGCTAAAAAACAACAAACTCGACGCTAGCCTTATGCTCGACGCTAACAACATTTCTGCAAAAAGTTGCGTGTGTCATATGGGGCTTTATTGACTGCAGCCTGGCTCCAAACTTACTTCAACACCATCAAAATCATGAGAATTTCTTTAAAAAAAATATCTAAGAACATTCACAAGAAGATTTTTAAGCTAACATCGCCAGAAAGAATAGTTATATAAGAACTTTGCGCGTGGGCCGGAAAAACCATATTCTTATTTTAAAAAAAAGAGTGTAATCCAGACGAGACTGCTGAATCTATCATTACTTTTGTCCATTAGAGGTCGCTTCGTGCTTAGGATAAAAAGTTTACTATGAAGAGCTCAGTTAAATTTGACAGTTATTTCTAAAAGCGTTGCCTATTCGTCAAGAGATCAGTAAATATGTCATTCTTTGCTTGAAAAAGCTTCGCGTAAAAAGTGTAATAAAACTTTTGATTATTCATCGGGTCTTTTCAGTTGCCAACCTCCTCTAGTAAAGAGTATGTCAATCTTTGTTTTTAAAGTGCCTCTCGTGAAAAGCACATGTAGTTGAAGTTGAACATTACAATCTTCGCACCAAATGTGTTACTCGTGAATAGTTCATGATCAGTAAAATATATCAGCACAGTGTTTCAAATGTGCCATTTCTTGTTCCAAAAGGACTTCTCGAGATCAGCGAAGTAAAACGCTTTTCGTTCTAAATGTGTTTCTCGTGAAGAGCTCAGTAAAATATTTACTCTTCGTTCTCAAAGCACGTCGCAAACTGGCCCAATAACACATGACATTTTCTTCTTTCTAAAAGTGCCACGAATGCGCGCTTAAGTACTACGAGAGTTAAAATGTGCGCTTGTTGAAACCCGGGACCTCCCCTGCTTAATGTAAAATACGGTTCTGTCCGTATAAATTATAGCTTATTCTAATTCTAGCAGTCCTAAACAAAGAAAATACTCCCTCAGTGTACCAATGCTCGACGACACAACCTAAAATACTACCTGACAAATTACAGCTTCTTACTAATGCGCCAGCACTGTAGTCGATTCTTAATGTTTTAAGCAACAAGGTGAAAAAGCATACCAATGAATTTTTCGTTTGTATCACTCCTTTTTCATCTGCAACGTAACGGCCTGGTAAGTTTTGGAGGATTTTCCACCGATGGCCTTTTCCAGCTTTTTCAAGGTTTTATACAAGCCGCAAGGGTGTCCGGTAAAATTGGATTTTGTTTTTCTGGATTAACTGCAGTCCTCCAAGTCTATTTATTAAGTTTAAACCAACAGAATGATGTCCTTGGCTGTTTCTGGATTTCTGGTAGTTTTGGCATAGATTTTTTTACCATATTATGGTTACATTTTCTCCTCTTAAACCCCATTAAGGCTTCGATTTAAAAAAAAGAAAAAAAAAAAATATTAAACATTCGAGACAGTGTTTTTATCTCGAGAATCGTCAAAAATTATCTGCTGCGCGTCATATTTTCAGCTCTCTTCTCGTTGATTGGAAATGTGGTAAAACACGGTGTCTCGATCGTGTGTAATGCATTACTGCGCATACAGCTACAGATATTCAATTGCTTTTGATATTCTCTTCGCCTGCTATTTTGAACTGTAGGGATGTCTCATAACCGGCTGTCATAATGGTGGCGTTTGTGTAGCTGACGAGATGAAACAAACATTTTCATGTTTGTGCCAGGTACCGTGGGCTGGAGCAAAATGTGACATTAAAATCGGTAAGAAATGTAAAAGCTCATACGAAGGCAACAGAGAGATGCTGTCAATGGTATTGACTGGGTTGAATCATTTCCTTTAACAATCTACACGTAGGTTTGGTGACGGATTTCCGCTGACCCAAATGCATAGTCGTCATATCTTCGATGGTACAGTAGCCCGTTTCCGAGTTGCTCTAAACGTCTCTATCAAAGCGAGGCCTTATTAACAACTTTCATATGAAAATGAGTTTAATTTTGCATGTGAATGAAGTCTCATTTTCGTATGAAAGGATAGACACCAAGACTCGCTTTGAGAAAGAGCTAAGGCTCAAGGTAATTCGAACCTTGTCGAAGATGGCGGCAGAGGGACAAAGTTCCCGCAACAAACCTTGGAAAAGTACAACAGTGATGCCAATTGCAAATATTTCTTAGTGCTAAAGATAACTTGGAGTAAGACATAATTGTCAACAAATGAAACAAATTACGTATAAGAACGCTTTGGCTATTTGCCAAAGTATTGAATTAATTTTTGACAACTTTGTAACATCTTTAATTTATTCATCTTTCAGATGCCTCCTCGTGCGACGAGGCCCAAATGAAAGTCAACCGGATGTTACAAAATGGAGAATATCTGTTAACAATTGGAAGCTTGTCATTAAAGGTAAGCAAGATTAAAAAATCATTACTTCCTTGTAATAATATCATAACGCTGCGTGCCGCTTATTGTTGTAGCAGCCTAAAGGTCGGAACACACGAGGGGACCAGTCCCTGTGACTAGTCGCTGCAGCTAGTCCCCTGAAGAGTTTACATGAAGGGACTGCTCGCAGGGACTTGTCCCACGAACAGTTCACACGAGGCGTTTTGAGGAACAAGTCGTGGGGACTTGTTCCCACAAATTCAAACTGGTTTGGATTCGTGGGACTAGTCGCAGGGACCAAACTTTGCTCCCTGCGACTAGATTTTGAAGCAAAAATGGCCAGTTCACACCATGGGACTTCTCCCCGCGACTTCCTGCAGGGTCTAGTCGCAGGGACTATCCCCCTCGTGTGTGCTGACCTTAAAAGTAAAGTAAGCCGTCTGTTGAACTCTACCCTACCCTACCCTACCCTACCCTCACCTCACCTCCTTCCCTTTCCCTCCCCTCCCTTTTCCCACCTTCCAAACAGCACCACCACAAGCACCTTTTTTGAATGTTTAAATAAATTTTAACTTCCTTTCTTGTTGCTTATGAGTTTAGATAACATGAGCAAGGAAGCTAAAATTTTTGAAATAACCACCATGTTGACCAACCGAGTTGTAGTTTTATCGAGACGTGAGTAATGGTGTTAAAACATTTAGGACTAAATTGGCCGACTTTCTCTTTGTTGTCTAACGTGACAGAAAACGATAAAATTTTTCTTCCACAAATGCATTTTTGTTTTTAGTAGGTGTAACTGTTGCTAGGTGTTGCCATGGTAACCTATTGTGTCATAAAAGTAGTAACAAAATGTTCACCAATGACTGGGCAGTTTGTTGATACTATAAATGTAGCATCAATCGACAAAGAGTGGTTGAAATGACCTATCAAAGTGCTGGAAACTGTTGCCAGCCACCTTAAAAGCCCGTCACCTCTAATTACACGTACCAAGAGCCTTCAATGTCATCGCTTTAATTCACTTCTTCCGTATTAGGTGTACTGTCACATGACAGATGATGGTAAAGGATGGACTCTGATCGCCCGATTCTCAAATAGTGACATAAGAAGGTGGATGTTTGACTCCGGACGCTTCTGGTGCTTCAAGATTAATGCCCTTGGAAACACAACTAGTCCGTCGATAAACGCTGACATGATCTCTACCGCATTTTGGTTCGTCAG